TCAAGTTCATGTCAAGCAAAACCTATCGGATAGACATCGAATATATGAGCCTCACAGGCAGATCTATATAAGGTATTCTAAGGTGATCTAAGGTCTCAACCGGATCATAATCAAAGTGCGCGATGCCAAAAGAGGCCTCCTGTACTTCAGCTGACTGGACCTGTTGCGAGCGGCCTTTCTTTTTTCTTTATAAACCTTGAAAACATCTTTTCTTTATCAAGAGTGTCTGATTCGTTGCAAGGCTCTTGAAACTGCAGAATCACAAGCTTTTAGACTACAACGAGATTCACATTATCAGCAAATCAGTCCCTGCAAAGCTAGCTATTAGAGCTTTGCAGGGTCGGTTTGTTTGGCCAAACAACATCTAAGACTCCGTGATGCTCCATGATTCATCGATGATGTTCAATGCTTGGCTCTGAACCGGCTCAGATGCATCTGGCTGGGACAAATATGGCACCTCGTCGATTCAAGCCAAGTGCCCCTTTCATAAGCTAAACTTGCTCTTCACGTTTCCCTAATTTTTAATTAGGAACTTGAACCAAATCATTAGTGCGAGCGCTTCTTCAAGGAAACTCTCCCCGCCCTCAGGCAGTTGTAGCTTCCTTGAAGAAGTGCGAGCTATCCTGCGTCCTAGCTAGGAGCGCCTGGCGCCCACTTAATTAAGTAAGGAGGCAGGGCCACGGGCTTAAAAGTAATGTCATTTCTCATCCTCCGCTTCTAAACTCGGCTTCCGGCGCGCTGTCTGAGCATCAGAAAGTCTTGCAGCGCGCGACAGTTTGCCGCATCCCGCCTACACAGCGCCCAACCAACCATACCAACCCGGCACAGTCAAGCGGATGACGCAACAGAAGCCAAGGACCTAAGGAGTCGAATCGAGCAATATTAACTGGACATCGTTGGACAATCTGATCCCACACTCCAAGGCCTTCTGCACAGCTCTTTTAGGAAGGCACTGAGGCCATTCTTTCGTGCTTCCAAGTATTCTGGAGCAAACCTCACAGCTTTCCGTGTGAGAACAGAAATGAACCGCAACATCAGCACGGCTCAGCCCTGTGCTGTCTGACTACCGACCTCAAAAAAGAGCGGACTCAAGTTACTGTACCAAACCCAGCTTTGAAATGGCAGAGGCTGCGCTATGCCTCTAAGGTCGCATCTTTGAAGGCATCATAGGGACAGACGCCAACTTCTTTTTTAGTGCCTGGTGACGTTGGCCCGTCAAGTGAAGTCTGATGGAAATGTCCGTGAGTATCATTAATTGATATTATTTATACAGCTGTCCTTAACTTCCTGCCTCTCTTGGTTGACATGGCCAAATGAATACAAAAAGGAAGGATCGAGGAGCCGTCATGTCCACAGTGATCCTGAATATTGCTGGATCCCGTGGGGAAGGAGCCTCACCTCATCAAGAGCCGCAAATTCATTGTATCGCTTGGTCACCTGCCAGGACCTGGGCAACTACAACATCGAAATTGTCCCAGGCTGTAGTGGTGTCCATGCTTGTGTCAACCAGCATTGTCTGATCAAAACAGCGGCACTAATATAATACATATATACAGTTAAATACATTGATGACCTTGCGCGGCTAGCTGGTCACATTTCACGCTCACTGTAAGCCACCAACTGACCTTCGAAGGAGACTCGTATGATATATTCCTGGGCGGGCAGGAGCTGAGCCTGTGGACTAGCAAGGAAACAATATGACTATATAAATGATGATCCAAAAGCATTTCATGGAGATCGAATTACTCCGGGGTGTTCCCCAGCAGAATGAACGGGCAATCATAAGTTTGATTCACCTCTGAGACTCTTGCTACATGCTGGCCGGTTTTCGCCAGGGACACCCTAGCTTTCACAGCCTGGAAGGGCAATGCAGGCAAGAAAGCATCTATATAATTGCACCTACAATTCCAACTGAAAACGGTCAAGGGGAACATGTCTTGAATGTCGTCCCTCTACGTCTGTGAGTGTCAAATCGTCCAAGCATGTTCTTGCGAGGCCAACAGCGCCGAATCGGTGATCCTTTGGCCCGTCAACGGATGCCAGGATCACGTCCAAGCCCTTGCTTAGCACATCTTGACCACTCCCAGCATCCACAACCTCAAAACCTCAAGTGGCAGGATATGACTGGACTGGATTTAACATGATTTAGTTTGAGTTAACCCTCTGTGAGTTGACTTCTGTCACGGCATGTCGTGGTGCTTCAGAAATACTCGGTGGACCGGTGGAAGAGGTATAATAACTATATACTAAATTCAGTTGTTGGAGCTGAGGTGTGCTTCATTACCTGAATTCAATACGGCCATTCATTCGCATAATTACACTGGCACTATTGGGCCGAACCATCGTGCTGCGTGTTGCGTTTTGGATTCTGGCCCTTGTTCGACACCACTGCAAATTTGCATTTAGATCTTCCTGTTTGTGCCAAGCCTACCCAATCTCTCAGCCATTTAAGGCAGGCGCGCTCCACCCATGCAGTCACTGGCACCTTTGATTGGCCATCAATTGATTTCACGAACCAACAAGGATGTCAAAGGAGTTGGGGAACATCGTCCCGCCACCAGTTCTTAAGTGCACCTGTTGTGAGGGCACTTCCTTGCTTTGGTTTGCTTTGTCATCCATCCTTTAGTGCTTCTACTGATGTTCAACGTTGGGTCAGCGAAACCCTTCAGGCAGCAAAGAGTGCACCAGTTGATCTGATCAATGATTTGGTTAAAGGGAAAATCTGCAGGAAACCCTCGTTTTCAACCCCAAAACCATTTAGCTTTCCTGAAGAGTTTCCCTTAAACCAATTCTGTGATCTGACCAAACGCATCCTGGTGGTCTTAAGTGTTGGTAAAAGTGCTATCCATCTTCTGACCTTTCATGAAGCATGGGCACGTTTCAGAACCTATGCGAACCTCTAGTCACCATGTACTATTCACCCTTATCAATCCGAAAGAGCTGGGCCCCAAGCATCACGTCCAACCTTTTGGACTTTTGCCATATTCTACGGAGGTGCTGAAGCACCTCAGCTGAAGCACCTTGGCCCCAGCAGGAAGGGAGGCACACGACTAGCACCTAGCGGTGCTACGCACCGACGTGTTGATCTCTATGCACGGGAGGCAAGGTCAGGAAGGGGCGCTGACACCGCCTATATCGAATGATACAAAGCTGCTTTTGGAGCCTGAAAGCTCGGAAAGGACACTTTCAGGAGCTGGCAGCGGAGCCGGCAAGCAGCAAAGCATGCTAAGACTCTGACCACGAACTTGCAGCTTTCTCCGCCTTTCCCTATGCTGGAGGCCAAGTGCTACGATAAGCACACAGCAAACAGTCCCAAAGTCTGGCTCTGGAACAAACTCACTCAGTTCCCTACCCAAATCAACAGTGAACATTCGCGGGCATCTGCTAGCATCACGCACAGTCATTTTGAAAACGATCGGAGTGTCTCCTGAAGATGGTTTGCCATCGCCAGGACATCTTTGCACATGTGCTGCAGGTTGACTGCAGGGCAAGTGGCACATTCGCGCCGTTCTAACTAGGCTCATTAACAGGCAACTTGCCGTTGCCGCCAATCAAATTGGACCAATCTACCCCATCTTCCTCAGTCTGCAGGGGAAGATTTGGACAACTCACTGTAAATGACGGTGGGCACATCCATGAGCCATGGCATTGCACGTAATGCCAAGCTGCGAGGCCGTACGAGTAACATGCCATTGCTACCCAGACTGCTCTATGAAACAGCCATGGTGCACGAGGCCGCCAAAGGAACTTAAACATAGCCCAGCCACAAACTGGGACGCAAGAAGAGGAGCTGGAGGGCCGCTGCTCCATCAAACCAAAGAACTCCTTGGCCTTGAAAGAGGGTCAAAAGCATTCAGCAAGTTCAATTTGCATCTGCAAGTGTCCTCCGAAATTGGGTTGACCCTTCATGACCCTTCATATTCACAGTAGTGTGACCCCGGCCGTCACTACTATATTCCCCACCTGATTCCCTCGGGTTTTGCACCAAGCAGAGTTGGTTAAACACCGGAGGTGCTCAAAAGAAGGAACCGGCGTGCCTCAATGGAACCTGTGTGCACTCCGTTGACGCACAAGAGTCTTCCCTGAGAGACAGGCACCATGTGCGTGAATGGAGCACGTGGAATGATCCATTGCTAGAGGGAGACAGCGTTCCCGTCCACAGACTTGTTGCATCATACAATATTCTTAACCCCGATTCCAACCTAGTGACCTAGTGTCCACACTAAAGCATGCCAAAGGTGCAGGCCAACGCCGACCGGCTGCCAGCAACAGAAGAGAACACCGAAAGCCAGAAGTGGAGTAAACATCTTCACGTGATTGTGATTGACATGCCGATGCCTGTGACCTACATTCACATCCTCCCAAACCCTTGCAGCTTCTCCTTCGGCAGCATCAAAGCTTCAGCTGGGCTTCCAGGTGTAATCCTTTCCACCACCAGGTGTCCAGCAGGCGGCAGAATCTTGAAGGCAATGCCTTGCTTTGAAAAGACATGCCTACTCCATGGTTCTGGCATGTTTGAGTTTTTGGGACAACCTTCTACTGAAACAAAGGCGGGTGAGACCCTTGGGAAGGTGCATAGAATCAACAAATGATTGATCAAAGCAAATGTCATTCCGGGAATTCACAAGGTTCATGAAACTCAAGTGGCAATTGATAGGTTCGTGGCGCATGCCAGTCAAATCGCGGCTGAGTACAGCTGAGTAATGCGGAGAAACATGGAGCAAACAGAACCATTGATAGAATGGCTCTCCCATGGCCCAAAAACATCCCAAGACAGGGGATTGGAAAGTCAGGGAGCCTTGCGCGTCGCCTGCATTGCTAATTCATAGTATGGGTCTGTGTTTTTTCAACCCTGGCATTGGTCATGTGGGTCTTGCCAACTTGAAGTGCTTGAGCTGACACGGACAAGTCCATGTCCATCTGGTCATGCAAGTGTTCCCCTAGGTCAGGTGTAAAACGGTACGCTTGCAACTTCCACCCACGCCCACTGAATCACACTTCTAGGCCTTGGCATTACGGGGCTCATCTTTTGACAAGGTGCCAATCTTTTCCTCGTGGCAGGCCACTTGGAATTCGACCACATCCAGCAACCCGGCTCCATATCCGGCAAGCTTGGCAGCTTCCAGCAAATGCTGGGGCAGCCTAGCAGCAAAAAGGCATTTGCTGGTTGGAGTGGACTAGCCTGCGCAGCCTTCCACTACACTTGTTCGAGAAGATACGATAAATCGGAAAAAGAACAAAGCTCAGACCATCTCAAACGTTGGCACCCAATCCAAGGCAAGTAGCTCCACTGGTCTGATTATACTACCTCTCTTCTGCCGTTGGACACCCCAGTTCTCTGGCATTGGGACATCAGAATCCGAGTCTGAGTCCTCACCAGCTGGTTGCTCTGGATCAAAGATCTGCTCACTTGCAAAACGTTCATCCTCACGGCTGCCTGGAGGATTTGGGTCCTGACACTCAAATCGATTGCTGTAATAGCTTCCTCTGCGTGATGAAGTTCAGGGTCCCCTATTTTCTGTAAGTACTCTAATGACAATCCGATCGTATGGCCAATCATTTTCAATGCGTCCTTGTATCCTGCTTGCTGATCATCCACCTCCGGGCTATTTTTCTCCAAAGCTTCACTGGCCTCCAGTGGATTGGCACTGGTGGTGTGGCTTCTGCTGGCAGCCACTCTCTCGTTCCCAATGCTGAACACGTCTAACTTCTATCAGATTTGGGATGGTGAAACCCAAAATGTTCATCCCTTTTCTCTCTTCAGGGGGATCAGCTTCCTGCCCACAGCCAATCTCAGTCTCCTTGGTTCTGTGGCCTTCAATGTGGGGCGGGCTTGCTCACAATATGACGAATGTCTATCCATGAGTTCACGGATTATGATTAGCATTGCTTAGCACACTTACCAACAAGAAAAAAGAGAAACAAATCAATTAATGCTTGCCTCGCAAGGTGCGCACACTGCCCCAGCAAGCCCCCGCAAAAAAAGGATCAGTGACTCCAAGAATAGGTTTGTCATCTTCGTCTTTTCGGGTTGTGTTTTCTGGTTTCACACGAGTCCACCCCTGGTGGGTATGTCGTCACATGTCTGCAAAGACGAAGCGTGATGCTTTCAATGCTCTGATTCTGCTCTTTGTCTTTGGGAATGAAATTGAATTGTAAGTTTTGAGCAACAAATGTGATTATGCAAAGTGTGTTCTTTCTTGGGGCCGCTATCACTTTTTGGAGAATGTGCCAAGAGAAACCATTAGCATGTGCTGCAAGAGCAGGTGTCTTGATCAGGGATAGGTGTCAATGCATATTGTCTAAAAAGAAGTTGACATTTGGATAGGCAAACAGCTCGCAGTTCATGGTTCGGCAAACAGTTTCCAAAAAGGCACGAACAAGACCGCGGAACCCATATAGAAATCCTTTTACAGGATCCAGCTAAGGCATATCTATCTATCTACCTACCTACCTATCTATCTCTATCTATCTCTCTATCTCTCTATCTCTCTCTCTATCTAACTATCTATCTAATCTATATGCCTATCTATCTATCTATCTAGCTAGCTAGCTAGCTATCTACCCATCTATCCATCTATCCCTCTATCCCTCTATCCATCTACTCTCCTTAATTTTAAAAACTATATCTATGTCTATATTTTAGAAAAAATGATGCGCTTTGCAGCTGTCTTGCTCTGAAGTAAGTGTGCCTCTTTGCCTCTTCCCTTTTTGTCTCATCTCTCTGTGCGGGCTAGCTCTCTCGCTGCAACGAGGAACCCTTAACATTGTAGGGGCGGCTGGGAACCAAGACTATGCAGGCGTCTACCCGAGAAAAGGAGCGAAGGTAGCCTGTCTCCTCCTCATTTAGCTCTTGAATTATTGGATAGGAAGACTAGCACCTGAAGATGGAGACAAAAAAATATTTCAAGCCACCAAACCAAGAGACGGGCCCTTGCACAATAGGAATTCACGGGTGAAGAGAAGGGTCATGGTATGTTATGCTTAACTTAAAGTGACTGGAAGAGCTACACGAGAGAGCTGTTAAATTAGTTTGACACAGGAAGTGAGACACCTGCTCCCTTATCCCCCCTTTCCTTTACACCTGTACCTCATCAAGAATTATTCTCAAGCACTCTGTCAAGCCTATCTACGCATACATTTGGAACCACAAAAGCCGATAACAACTGCATTAAGCATCCTGGCTGTGAATTGGATGAGACCTGGAAAACTTGAACCGTTGGAAAACGGAACACCAACACAAACAACACCAAGAA